AGGCATGTACCACCGTGCCCATCTTCTTTGATGCTTACTGATGCTTGCTTTACTGCTGGCCATATGATCAACTTTTGTAAAGGTTTCACATCTGCTTTGATTAGATGCAGAATTTTATACAGCGATTGTTTGTTGTATATGTAGATTTTGCCATTCAAATCTATCATCTTTCCTTCTTTTGGGACTRGCTTAAAAATAACAAAGAGTGCTGTAGTTAAATTTGTAACTTTTCAATTTGTTTCTAYTTTTTTAAATCTAATTTTCCCTCTAGGAAAATGAGGTTATGAGGTTAGGTGACGAGGTGCTTCCTTTGGGGAATTATTATCGTCTTGGTGAACTGAGTGAGTCTTTTCCTAATTTGTCCTGCAGTCTTTCCACCGGGTAGGAGAGAGGGACCAGCAAAGGCAAATTTATTCCTGAGGCTTTGGACCAAAAGCCACGTACCATCTCTGCTCCCATTCTGTTATATTCTGGCAACCAGTAAACGATGACCCCACCACGGTGTGCAGGCGCTGCTGGAAGCTGCATTCAGCTGTGTGATGGCTTGGTGAGCTCACAGCACTGCCTTTGCCCACTCCAATTATACTTATTGTGATTATTGACATCTTTGGAGTTCTTTCTAATACTTTCTTTGTTTTGATATTTCTGTTTTCTAACTTTCCTTTTTAGTTTGTTGTTTTGTTAACTATACTTCCCAATCTTCTGTCTAAGCAGATAAGAAATTTAGCATGCTCTCAAATCCATTTACGTACTTTCTTTCTCCTTCAACAAAGTATTTGTTCTACTTTACTCCTGAAATTTTTCCTCTGATTGTAATATTGCCTCCAAAAGTGTCTTAAATATGGGTATTTATAGAGCAAACTTCTGAAACTGTGTGCTTGAGAACAGTTTTACCATACTACCATTTAAAATTTTTTTTAATTGACACAAGAATTGTTCATATTTGTGGGGTGCAGTGTGTGATGACTCAAGGTGTGTATACAGAGCATAATGATCAAGTTAGGCTAAAAGTTTAGTTGAATATTAAATTCTAAGTTTAAGGTTTTTTCCCCTTTAATTTTTCCCCTGGGGATTGAACCCAGGGATGTTTTACCAATGAGCTACAAATCCAGTACTTTTTGAAATATTTTTAAATTTAAGTTTAAATTTAAATTTATTTTTCATTTTAGCACTGGTGATTTAATCCAGGGGTGCTCTATCACTGAATCATTCCCCCAGCCTCCTTTTTATTTTTTAATTATAGATGGACACAATATTTTATTTTATGTGGTGCT